GTGAGGTATCGTGTGACGCCCTCTGGATTGACCTGAACTACAGGCTCGCGCGCCTCTATCACTGCCTTCCCATCGTGATCTGTGTGCCTTGTACTTGTATATTCCCACGAAGGCGGAGCGGTGGTAAGGAGCGCGAGGGTTTCGAGGAGGGCCTCAGCGGAGGGCTTGGTGTAGAGTTGCGGTAGGTCAAGGACTAGACATGGATTTAGCACCAAGACACGTAGATGCAAGGCGCAGATGTATACCATCTAACATGGACATTTTGAAGCGACTATGGCGAATGCGCGGGAAAATTGTTGGTCGGTGGGGTACAGTACTCACCAGGTCCAGCGTGGGCCCAAGCTAGCCACCGCGGGGCTAAGATGCAGGTACCACAAGCAGATATTCTGATAGTCCAACGCTGCCTATTCGCCCGTCTCAAGCCTTCTTTAGGGTCGTCTTAAAGCCGTAGTATGCTTGGTCCATGTCGAATTGGAACTCGCGCGACTGCTCATCGCTCAGTTTCTCGGCGGCCCGCATTTGGTTCAGAGTGATCAGCCACTGCACAATCTTGCCCTTATTCTCGAATTCGACATCTGTGACCTTGTTGACAGCCTGAATGATCTCAACAAGGAGAGGGTGTAGGGTGTCCTTCTCCACCAGCCCGATCTTGATGGCGTCGAGCAGAGTGATGAAGTTCTCGGTTGCGTTGACGACCAGCGTGGCGTCAGCAACGTCGCCTGACTGAGCCGATCGTGATGGTCCCTGTTCGATAGTAGCGGGTATACCAACGCGCAGTCGTTCGATAGCTCGGGGACATTCCATCTGGAGTCGTGTCAGCCTAGTACTGGAGGAGCTCAAGACTTGCTATGACGCACATGCCATTCCTTTGCAAACTGGTCCAGGTCACCGAATGCTCGTGCGACAGTCTCATTGGCAAGATTGGACTTGTACTGCTTCATCAAGCGGTTGCATGTCTCGGTGTAGTCGGCTTCTGCGATGGAGTCTTTCAGGTAGGCCTTTTCTATGGCGTCGAGCGTGATGATGATGCTGTAGATCTCGGCGAGCGAGTCGTTTAAGTCGCGCTCGGCATTGGTCGTTGAGAGCTTGACTTCCTGGGTAGATAGTGAGTATGCGCATGCGGAGTGGGACTGAGGCGCGTCATACCTCATCAAGGTTGATGGTTGCCGAGAGATTGGAGCGCGGAATGTAGGGCGTCGGCGCGTAGGCCAGCTGTCTGCCGTAGGACATTATAGCGATAAATTAGTTGTCTTATAGAGTCGCGGGTTTAGTTGGGTGGTGCACAGTTGTGTTATCGATGCGCCGCAGCTCATCGCGTGGGGAAGGCGCTAGGGATCCAGTGCAGGGTCCTTAGCGCTGGAACTTTTTCGAGGCCCAAGTTTTTCAACCGCCAGCTGCACGCCCGGCCAACAACACCACTCGCCCTCGAGGAACCGCCAAATACCGCCGACATGCCCGTCTCCAAGGCGACCAAGAAGTTCCAGAAGGACAAGCTCGGCGACGTCATCAAGCGCCGCAAGGATGTCGCCAAAGTCAAGCAGAGGAAGCAGATGGACACCAAGAAGAAGGAGCGCAAGGCCCGCGACAATGCCAAAGCCGACGACCTAGAGGAAGAAGCCGCGAAGAAGCCCAAGACGAATGGCGCCAAGGACGACAACCTGGGCGAGATGTCCATGGACCAGTTCTTCCAAGGCGGTTTCCAGATTCCCGAGATGAGCAAGAAGAAGACCAAGCCCAAGACTGGCAAGCGCAAACGTACACCAGTCGCGGAGGATGGTTCGGAAGGCTCTGATGAGGACATGGAAGATGCGCCCGACGGCACCGACGAGTCCGGCTCCGAAAGCGACTCTGGCGACGACGCAGACACACACAAGGCGCAGCTCGAAGGACTGGCGGAGAAGGACCCCGAGTTCTACAAGTACCTCAAGGAGAACGATGCCGAGCTTTTGGACTTTGCCGAAGACGCCGACCTTGCAGAGATTGACGCTCTGTCTGCCAGTGAAGACGAGGCCACGCCGAGGAAGAAGCAGAAAGCCCAGAAAGCGCAAGAAAGCGCATTCGACGACGAGGAAGACGCGGGCAATGAGCTTGGCTTGAAGACAATTCAAAAATGGAAGGCTGCCATGGAGACCAAACATTCCCTGCGCGCCATGAAGGAGGTCGTTTTGGCCTTCCGCGCTGCATCACACATGAACGACTCGGAGGCTACTAAATCATACAAGTACTCCATAACCGACCCAGATGGTGCGTCCATAAACACCCACCATGAGATCCAGACTAACAGCATGTAGTGTACCACCAGGTTCAAGTAACTACTCTTCACCTAGTACCCAAGGTTCTCCAACATCACTTGCCCGTCAAGGAGAGCGCTGGAGGCAGGATGTCAGTAATCACTCTATTTCTTTAGGATATTCACTAACCATAACAGTCGCGTTGCCACCGACTCGAAGAAGTTCCGCACACTTACCCCCCTCCTCAAGTCGCATACCGTCTCGATACATCACCTCCTTGAGAACCTGTCCGATGCGAAGACCCTCCAGATGACACTGGACTCGCTCTCTCACATGCTCCCATACATTTTGTCCTTCAAGAAGGTCGTGCGCGAGGTTGTGCGCTCTGTCGCATCAGTCTGGTCGGATAGTGCCAACAACGATGGAACAAGAGTGTCGGCTTTCTTGGTTCTGCGACGACTGGTAGTCATTGCGGACCCAAGTATCCGCGAGGCGGTCTTGAAGCAGGTATACCAGGGCCTGGTCAAGAGCGCGAGGAATACCACAATCCACACCATCCAGGGTATCAACCTGATGAAGAACACCGCAGCCGAGCTCTGGGGCATCGATCCCACTGTTGGCTACACCACAGGCTTCGGCTTCATCCGCCAGCTCGCGATACATCTACGCACAAGCATCACCAATAAGACAAAAGACTCCTACAAGACCGTCTACAACTGGCAGTACGTCCACTCGCTCGACTTCTGGTCAAGAGTCATCTCCATGCACTGCGAGACCCTCCGCGAAGCAGAGTCCGGCAAACCCTCACCACTCCGCCCCCTCATCTACCCCGTCGTCCAAGTCACCCTCGGAGCCATGCGCCTAATCCCCACATCGCAATACTTCCCCCTACGCTTCCAACTCATCCGCTCGCTCCTGCGCATCGCCCAAGCAACCTCCACCTACATCCCGCTCGCGCCGGCCCTCGTCGAAGTCCTCAACTCAGCCGAGATGAAGAAACCCCCCAAGCCCAGCACCCTCAAAGCCCTCGACTTCAGCATCAGCATCCGCGCAACAAAAGCCTTCCTGCGCACACGCATCTACCAAGACGGCATCGGCGAGCAAGTCGCCGAACTTCTCTCCGAATTCTTCATCCTCTGGACAAAAAACATCGCCTTCCCTGAACTCGCCCTCCCCGTCATCGTCATGCTAAAGCGCTGGGTCAAAGCCATGACGAAGAAGAGCTCCGGAAACAAAAACACTAAAGTCTCCTCGCTCATCGCGCTGCTCGTCCAGAAACTAGAGGCGAATTCCCGTTGGGTCGAGGAGAAGAGGAATAAGGTTGAGTTTGCGCCGAATAACCGTGCGGGTGTCGAAGGGTTCTTGAAAGATGTAGAGTGGGATAAGAGTCCGCTTGGCGCGTATGTGGCGGGTCAGCGTAAGAGCCGGGAGCAGAAGGCTAAGTTGCTCGAGGAGGCTAGGAAGACGGAGGATAGGAAGAGGAAGGAGGGGGAGAAGTATGATAAGAATGGTGGAGAGGAGTTTGCGGCGGATGAGGATGAGGAGGAGGAAGAGGAGGTTGACCTTGAGGGGTTGAGTGATGAAGATTTGGAGATGGATGATGAGGAGGAGGAGAGTGATGATGAGTAGAGTGGTTGGTTTTTGTACTGTATCGGATATTTTGGTGTTGGGTTAAACGGATATGTATGTGTGCATGTCTGTAGTAGAGATAGACACGTCGTCTGTGACGGGATATGGCTGTGCAATGAAATGCGGCATGTTTCCCTGAATCTTCTTTCTTGTTCAATACTCGAGTGATGGCGAGTTTGATGTACAGATAGATTCGTCTTTGATGAGCTATGCTGAAGGTATACAATACATCAAGTTTTGTATCTACATTGCCTTAGCATGCGGTGCATACTTCAGACTGTTGTATAACCTGGGCACAACTCAATATCACAATGTGTCGGCATAACTGCCATGGTCAGGCTTGCATCAAATACTTCGTCTTGTTTCACTTGAACCTTTCCCCATGTAGAGATCAATATGTGAGTTTATCTAGACTAATGTACCTCACTCTTTGCATCAAATCATATGTGCATTGCATAGCCTCTGGACACGTAGTACTCTGACTATAACATGCATTAGTTGCATATAAGAATGACTGTTCTTCCATAAGATATACTTGTTCGGGGTAAGGTTATCGCTTTCATCCCTCGTATATGCGTGCTATAGGCATTAGTGACTCCAACATGCATTGTCTTGTGACTTTTGTCCAATGTAAATTCAGAGAGATACATACACCCATGTTGAACGAGATAATGCGTTAGCCAATCAAGACGCGGCGATAATGCGAGACTAGCGTGGCATCCGCGACATCGAGCACTTGCGGTCAACCATCGAATACTATATAAACCTCACCCATTTCCTCCCATTCATCTTCAGCATCAATCTAACTTTCGATGCCAGACTTACCATAGTTGATAATTATTACAGTTGCAGGTGTGCCACGGACATATCGTAGCTTCTAGTAGGGTCTAGTAGAAGACTCAGAATTACCCGCACGCGTGCTGCCTCAAGGCTGCAGCGGATTAGTACCGGAGGTCCATTACACTCCACGTCATCTACCAGTACATTAGTATCCATATTCACTGCTCCTCTCTTTTACCCCGCACCTCGTTGTTGCAGCCTAGAGGTAGCGCGGCACGTATATGGCAAACGCCAGCTGGCGCCTGACATTGTAAACAAACACACGACCACCCCACCTCGCAGACTATCAACCGCAACACCATGGCAGCGACCAAAAACGAAGTCCCCAAATCCTCAGCATGGCTGCTGGAGAAAGCCCAAAATGCTGCGAAGGCGTCTGGTACTGGACCAGAAGCCGTCGCCAGGATCCTACAAAAGACGAAGGAGCAGAAGGAAGCGAACAACGAGGAGCACCAGAAAAGGATGAGCCTTCTGAGCAAGAAGATGACGGAGTTGGGAGCAAAGCATCAAATGAACCCGTTCAAGAATGCGGAGCAACCTGTCGCGGCGGACACCATCGCGGTCACGCCCAAGGTCATCAAGCCAGCGCAGCAGGGTTTAAAGCGTAAGCTTCCAACATCTCCCGGTGCGAAGCCTGTCAATCCGCCGGCTAAGAAGACGAAGGTCCAAGAGAATCTCCAGCCTCGAGTTCAAGACAAGTCCAAGGCGAAGGAGGCCGTCTCCCAGAAGCCAAAAGACGACACCTTTGAAAAAGCAAAAGAGGATATGACGGAGCCGAGCAAGTCGAAGGTCCAAGTTCAGATTCAAAAGAAGCCGCAGCCGAACGCCGGTATGCCTAAAAAGCTTAAAGTAAATACAAAGGAGCTGGGCAAGGCGCCGTCTAAGTCTGCGACTCCAACCCCGACACAGAAGAAGCCACAGGAGAAGGAGACGAACGAGCAGATCGATGTTCAGAGCTTGTGGACGATGAGGAAGCAGAGGGAGCCTCTTAAGGACTCGCCAAAGAGTGCGACGTTTGCAGAATCAGCGACTGCAGGCGCTTCACGGGAGCGGTCGGCTGCTACATCTTCAAGGGCCGCAACGCCAGCAACACCGGCAACGCCAACAAACGCATCAGAATCAGAGATCGTGCCATCAAACGACCTCTTCGTCTCAGACGATCCAGACGACAAGTATCCCATTGCAAAATCCCTCCCAACATGGTACACCTCCATCACCATCAAAGACCCGCGCATGGAAGCCATGACCAAAAAACGTCCCCTCGCCCTCGTAACCCTCCAAGCCCTCAAAGCGGCCTTGACAGATTGTGAGAAGCCAGGAAAATCCCAGATCGAACTCGAAGCCCTCTACGACAAGATCCGCGATTTCATTCACAAAGCCGAAATCGACCTGCAAGTCAACACCGTACTACTCCGCAAAGCCATGACCCTAAGCCCCGACTACGGTCTACCCCGCATCTTCAAACCAGGCACGAAGTTCCCGTGGGATCTAAAGGCGGATGCGTATCAACTGTACAAGCGCTGGTACAAAGGCGATTTGAATCAAGATATACTGCGCGGTATTGCGCCGCATAAAGGGGATAACAGGACGAGTGATCGCCTGGATGAGACGTACCGTGCTCAGTTTCCTACGACCGCAAAGTACTATGGCGAGGGGGAGTTGGTGCTTGGTCAGTGGTGGCCAACGCAGCTTTGCACAGTGCGCGACGGGGCGCATGGATCAGCCCAAGGCGGTATCTACGGTGAGCGCGACAAAGGCGCTTACTCCATCGTGCTCTCCGGCGGAAACCCATACCACGACGTCGACAACGGAGACACCATCGAATACTCTGGCACCGAAGGACGCAATGGCACGCCTACGGAGAATACCGCCCATCTGATCAAATCGGCCGAGTTACTCAACCCCATCCGCGTCATTCGCTCTGCGCAACTGAATAAAAAGAACCCTTTCCGACCGGAGTTGGGGCTGAGGTACGATGGGCTTTATGTGGTCAGGGGGTATACGTGTGTGGATAGGGAGAAAGCGATGTATCGGTTTCGGCTCGAGAGGTGTGAGGGGCAGGAGGGGATTCGCTGGCAGGGGAAGGCGAAGAGGCCGACGGAGTATGAGTGTAGGGAGTTTAGGCGGTTGAAGGATAAGGGTGTTGGGGTTGGTTGGTAGGCGGAGACGGACACCTTCATGGCGGGAGATGGGTTGTTTTGGAGTGTGTGACACGGTTCTCCCGTCCTTGTGGCAGATGCAACACTTGTTCGGGTTGATGGATGGATGGTATGGCGGTGGTGATGGCGGATATACCGTTCCCTTTCTTTCCCTTACTTTCCTTTGTCGTTTACTTCAGGCGTTTCTCAGGATACCCGTTGCTCACTCATCAGAATAGCAGGAGAGCAAACTAGTCAGTCGACGACAGATACGTCTGTTGCACAACGACAGCATATGTAGTTTCCTTGGGGTGTATATAAAAATAGGAAGTGGTTTTGTAACAAAGTCTAGTCTGTAATCGCGCATATGTAGCTACGCTACGCAACGATCAAAATTGAGAGATCAAGACTGTCTCGGGCTGTAGGATATGTCTCTTTCCCGTAGGAACAATCTCTTTTTCTGAAAAACATATCATCATTCACAAGCTCATCTCTATATACCCGGGTATGTCTACTCCAAAACAACAACAAAAACGCTATGCCAAACGCCATCCCTTCATTCACAATCCCAATCATGGACACATCGCATGCATCACTCCCTCAAGCCTTCCCCTCAACAACCTGCCCCAGCGCCTCCCCCTCAACCACCGCATCCCCTGGTCCCTTCCCCTTACTCCCCACCTTCTCCAACGGGCTCATAACCTTCTCCTCCACCCTCTTCTCCTCCCCATCCACACTAATATTAACCCAACCCCTAACACTATCCTTCGTCCGACTCAAAATCGTAGTATCATTAACCAAATTCCAGCTCTTCGCCGGCCCAGCCTCATCCTCCAATTCCAAATCCGCCGCACTCGTATTCGCAACCCTCGCCCCATTCTCCCTCAGCATCTGCAATATCGCGCGTGTGTTGAGCCTGAGTACGCGTTCCGGTTCCTTCGCGCCGAAGACTTTGGTTGTGACCCAGGGGAACAGGACGCCGAAATCGGATTGCGAGAGGTGCGCTGAGGCGATGGGGTAGAAGATGTGGGGACCAGGTTGGTTTGTGTGTTTCGAAGATTGGGGAGAAGGAGATAAGATGGATTTCGTTTCGCGGAAGTTGGAGGACCAGTTGTAGAAGCCTTCCGAGGCGATGGCTAGCAGGTTCTTGCCGCCAGAGGGGGAATCGTAGCATGGCATGGGTTTGGAGCGGAGCCAGCTTGTGGCGGGGCTTTGGATGGGGAGCGTCCAGAGGTCGAGGAGGGTGACGGAGTTGCGGGGTGTGATTTGTTGGACTAGGGTTGAGTCTGAGGAGGGGGTGTAGAGGGGTTTGTAGCTTGTGGTTGGGGTTGAAGGGCGGTGGTAGACGGATTTAACGAATTGCACCATCGTGCATGCGCCGAAGGAGTGGCCGGCGTAGCTGATGGAACCGGGCTCGTGGATGTTGAGGATGTTGGAGAACATGCTGAGGAGGTTCTTTCCCTTGGGTTGGTCTTGGGCTACGTTATGGAGTTTACGTCCTTCGTCGATTTTCAAGACTGCATCGTGTACCATGCCCAATTCCCATAGCCGTATCTTCAATTGTTCGTCTCGTGCCTCGTATACTTCTGTGCTCGCCTGATGCGCAATGGATCGGTAGTCGACGCGCTTCGTCTTCTGCTTCTCTTCCGGTGTGTGGTGGATGGCGAGAGGCGAACTGCCATCGCGGTGGTCTGCTGCTACCACTACGATTCCGTGACTTGCAAGCGACCCGCAGATGTGCGAGTATGCGTTCCGTGTACCCCCCAATCCGTGGGAAAACATCATGACGGGCCATCGATCGGACTTCGGCGGTGGAGCGAGGAGTTCGGCGTTTTGGTGTACAGGCATGGAGATGTAATAGAGCAGTTGTGGCATCAATCTAGACAACTGTCAGTATCATGCTCACCCCAATCGCATCTCACGGTACTTACGAGAAAACACTCGCAAACGCGCTATTCGCCCCCAGAAACCTCGCATAAGCACTAATATATTCCCTCTGCGGACTCGGTATCCATCTCACAGCCTTCTCATTACTGTCTTGTTTACACGGATAGAAGATGCGGAAAGCGACAGTGGGTAGATCCGCAGGAGGCGCATCCGCGCTCGGACTGTCCAGGTCGCTTGTGGGTATCTCTACATCCACGGAGCCGACTTTGTACGGTCCCGTATGCGGCGGGAAGCCCGGCGTGGGATTTAATCGATGGAGCCACGACATATCGGCAATCGCAAGCGGGTTCGCTGTTCCAAGCGGAAGTCGCGAGGGGAGAGCGCGGGTAAGAGATCTAAAAGCGCGTGAGAACGACAGTATGATTGTCAGAAACCGTAACAATCAATCTTCAATCGGGTCGTAAATCTAGTAAAGAAACGAACAGGCCGTAAAAATGGGGTGAAAGTAGTGGAGGAAGTCTAGATCAGAAAACGGAGCCGCACGCACGCCTATATCATGGAAATCTGAAGAAACATGCCAGTGACGCACAAAGCCCATGCTAACACGCTACTGCCAGGGCACTGGGGCGTCCATCCTCGGAAGGGCACGCGACCCCCGAGTGCTTAGCCCGCCCGCCGGTGCCATCCATGACTGTGGCAAATGTAAATTTGCGACATAGAGATGCCGAGGTTTCGGACGCGTTACGGCGGATCCAGAAGTTTCCCCAGCGCGTCAGCATGCAAGATATGGGCATACTGTGGGAATTCTTCGGAGTGCAGGAAGCTGGATTGATGGATGCTATCGGGAGTCTGCTGGATCGAGTTCGGATGGGCGTGGGGAGTGGCTTGGAGCGTGATCGCGTGCGCATGCATTATCCTTTTTCATGATGACGACACGCCAGACGTTTAGATCCGCGCATGCGCGAGATCGCGCTAGGCTTCACGTCGCCGCGTCTGGCCACAAAACCTTTGCGCCCACCGACCGTAGTATAGTTCAAATGTCCAAGTTTTGGTTGAAGCTATATGTGTTCAGTCTGGTACGGGATTCCGTTGATCTTGCATCAAGCCCGACCGACTATTGCCCCGACGTAAGAACTATCGATGCAGGTGGTGAGAACAATGTCCCGATGTAATCCCGACATCGTGGATGACATGTGATCGTCATGTAGCTCCCGAGTAGCGCGCGATCGTGAGGTAGACTGGATGCGATGTTGCATCAGTGGATGGTTGGCAACGCATTGAATGAAGAAACATGATGCATATAGGTTGCGTCAATTCACGATGTACATCTCAACGGCTAGATACCAACATGTCTGCAAAGACGATAGCTCAGGACTCTGGAAAAAGAAAATACATCTCAGCGGACGCGGAAGTCAAAGGTCCCCTATGACGGCGGAATATCGATGCAAGGCAAGACGACAGCACGCCGTCAGGTAGCCATACGTAACAATCGTAATGCAGGGCAAACCCTGAATCCCTCGTCTTCGCTGAGTGAAGTTTTACAAGTCAAAAGAGCTCGTTTTGATCAGCCTTCGTCCAATGATCCTTTCATCCACATTACATCTTCAAGCAATCCATATATCCAGGGAAAAACACACACAAGAGCAGACCGCATATACAAACTACACAATTCGAAAAACCATCTCAATCGCAACAGAAGTTTCAATAGAAGGGATGTAGAAGATCCTTCCATGTGCATTACATCGTCAATCTATATATCCTCCAAAGAAAAAACACCATGGGTATGCCGCATATACAAACTACGCAATCCGAAATCCACGCGCTACCACCTCCTAAAGAAACGTCCACACATTAGCCGTACTCGCCATCTCCATTCCATTGCATCAACAACACCCCCCTCTCCTCCTCCCCCCACCCCCACCAAGCCTAAAAACATCCTCCCACTCCCCCAACGCACCACCAGCTTTCTTCCCCCCTCTCCTCCTCAACCTAACCCCCTCGTCCCCAAACCCACTCCTCACACTCCCGCCCCCATCATCCCAGCCCAAATCGCCGTATTGGATCCCACTGGCCGGATCATCAGGATCGATCTCGCCCAATTCAATCTTGGTGAGAATCATGCGCGCCAACCGTGTAAACAGCTCTTCCACGTTCTCCCCATTGAGCGCGGAGACTTCGACAGCAACGGGGATACCGTTCTGGCCGGCCCAGCGAGAAGCCGTTTCGGCGGGGACTTCGCGGCCGTCGGGCGCAACGGTATAACTCGCGTGGAGATTGGCGTTGAGGGAGGGCGTGCGACTTGCTTGCGAGGAGGGCGTGGGTGGTGGGAGACCAGATTCCGACGAGGGCGTGCTGGCGTAACTGCTATAGTTGCCTGTGCTTCCTCCTCCACTATTCATGCCTATAGGTACACCCCCATCCTCAACATCGGCCTTATTCCCCGCCAGTATAATCGTAATATCCGGTCCCGCCAACGCCCTCGCATCATCCAAAAACGTCTTCAACTGCTCGAAGCTGCGCCAGCTGGCTACATCGTAAACGAGGATAGCGCCTGCGGCGCCGCGGTAGTAGGACCGTGAGACGGAGCGGAAGCGCTCTGTGCCTGCGGTGTCCCATAACTGGAGTTTTATCCGTTTGCGCGACGAGGGGGACGAGGGCGAGCGTTGGCGGCGGTCGGCGATGTGTACGATTTTGGAGGAGAATTCTACGCCGATTGTTTGGCTGGAGAGGACGCGCCCTGTGAGTGAGGGAGGGTGTTAGTGGGGGTTGTTGATGGCGGTGGGGAGGGGAGAGGAGGGGAGGAGATGGGGGTAAGATTACATTCGGATTTTACGAAGCGGTGGAGGAGGCAGGATCTATAGGCGTTTCTTGGTTATTCGGTGTTTGGTACATGTCTTCGCTCTTATCGCGAACTTACTTGCCAGCGCCGCTGGGTCCCAACAGCACTACCTTGGCCAGGTAATCATACATACTCCCCAGCTCCTGCGTCTACTCAGCAACAGTCCTGCCAAGCTCAAAAAGTGCCCATACCTACTTGTAACGGCGGCTCGCTGCTCCGCGTCGACGCATTCGACACGGCTCGGTTCCTGCCCATGGTGAACGGCGGCAGCGGCCTCGTTTGACGTTTCTGGCGGG